ATTTTATATTATAAAACAGCACAACCCTCAGAGAGCAGCAGTGTCTGAAGTCTACTTCCATCTTGCCAAGATTACTGTAAAAATGCTCTTAAGATCTTTCTGCCTGATTTAAAATTTTCCACTTAGATGGCATTTCGTATTTGTAGTCAGCTCTTTTTCCTATCATTTATTTCAATGTGGATGCAAGATAATCATATCTAAAAAGTTTGTGTCATAAGATACAGGTAAGAGTGGTTATTTTTGGGAATAAAAATTACTGTTCTGAAGTTTGGTCTATTATCTATTGAGAGAAATGTATAAATGAACAGAGATATTCTTTAATTTTTTTTTTTTTTTTTACTGTGATTGAATTTACACCCAACATTTGTGTCACAAAAATGAGTAGCTTCTAAGAGCTTTAGGATCTACATACAGAAATTGTTTCCTGTGGTGTATGGGCTTTGTGACATCTTTTTTATCTCTTTGTAGTAGCTTTGCCTCCTCTGGATTGTAAGCTGTAGTCTGGATAAATCACTTCTGAGTAAATATGGTATTACTGTGTAGGAGTTACAGTAGTAAACTTAGGTGTTTGGGTCCACATTTCAAAAAGTAAAGAGATGGCCCTAGGGCTGGGGCTCATGAAATACCTTGCCTACTGTCCCCAGAGCCTGAGATATTTTTATTTCCTCAGAATGTCTTTTTAAAAGCAGCCAGAGAATTTCTTGCTTTTTAGATTGTTTCACTTAAGAGAAATGAGCCAGGGAGATGGCTCACTGGCCTAAGTTCCTGCCTGAACAGTACAAGGTTATGAGTTCACTCCCCTGTACAAGAAACACACACACACACACACACACACACACACACACAGAAAAAATGAAAGAACTGTGAATTTCATAAGTTATTTAGTAACTAGTGACCAGTAGGGAAGTAGGGACCAGGACCCAGTAGCACCTGACTTTTGAGTGGAATAGCTGAGACATGAGCATCAACAGCAGAAAAATTTGCTCCCTCCTTCCACAGGTGAGAAGGAAAGACAGCTATACTGAAAATCAGGGGCTGAGGACATAGCTTTATGGTCTTCAGTGCCTTTCTGGGAAGCACAAGGACCCAGGTTGAATCCCTGGTACCACATTGCCATGCCAGGCCTGGAACCTGGGCATGCTATGCCAGCCACTGAAATCAGTGGTGGTGCACTCCTATAATCCCAGCACTGGGGAGGCTGAGACAGGAGGGTCACTATAAGTCCAAGCTGCGTAGTGAAACCCTATACCAAATAAATAAATAAAAATTTTTTTTAGTTAAAAAGAAAATCATTAATCATTTAGTTAAAAAGAAAGGCACACAGTACATAGAAGGTGTCTGGCTAGAATGCTGCCCCCTGTGCCCACAGTTTAGTCCCTCATTTCATGGGGTGCTGCTCAGAGAGTGTTTCATCAGATGCTTCCCCACGCTACCCCGTCTAGACTTGCATTTTCATCCCTTATCTAATCTGCTTTTGGTTGTTTTTTCTTCATTATTGAACATTTATTTGTTTACTTTTTTAAAAAGTCATTTTGTGTTTCCATAAAATATAACCTCCATAAAAACAAGAGCTTTGATTTATTTTTTGCATCACTCTGACTTCACTAGTAAAAATAATGTGTGACGCTTAGGTATCTGTTCAGTTGGTGAATAAATTATTTATGTGGGGAGAATTTGTCTAGATGGGAGGGTTGGAAAAGTTCACTGAGGAAGAGATGGTTGAGCTGAGATGTGAAGGAGAAGTTGGAATTAAGTTGGAGGAAGATGGCAGTAGGCAAGAATACAAGCTTTGTGAGCATGGGGACCATGTGTAGTGGCTGTCATGTCCACAGCACCCGAATGAGGAGAAACTGAGGTAGATGGGACAGCATGTGCAGAGGCTGTGTGGTAAGAGCCTTCTGATTCCCAGGATAGCAAAGGGGGCCAGTGTCACAGAAGTATGCAGAGAGCAAGGTGGCTGGCCGCTGTGACATGCAGAAGGGGAGGCAAGCAGAGCCGCATCCTCTGGCCCTGTTTTGAACTACAGAGAACAAAGGATAAGCTCAGCATTTCCTCACACTTTATGCTGCATTTCCTTGTAAAGTTGAAGTGTTTTGTTTGCTATAAAATGAAATATTTTATTTCATTTTTTTCCATTACCTGGAAATATAGTAAATAACATTAAGGACTAAGCAAGGTCAGGTTTGACATGATCTATATCATATCAGTGATCCAACTGAAAATCAAATCTGCCTAGCTGCCATGTCTGTGGGTGTCCTTGATTATGACCATTTTAGTTCTGAAACGCACATAGTATTTGGCCATGTTTAACCCATTTTCTTTCTTTCTTTTTTTTCTTTTTTTTTTTTTTCCAGTACTGGGACTCGAACTTTGGACCTTGTCCTGTGCCACTATTTCCCCAGCCCTAGAATGTATCTATCTTAAGATAATGACCCTCACAGCAGGGTTCTACCTACCGTTTATTGTAAAGATTTGTACGTAGGAAATTAGAGGAAGAACCCTAGCTATAGTTTTGCAAGCTATTAAAAGATCTGTAATAGAATCAGTTAAGTAAAAGTATTAACCACAGATACCTTTGAACTTCTTTTTCTGTCAGTTTTGGGTTTTCTGTTGTCTGTTTGTTTACTGTGTTTAGTACAGGGTCTCGCTACACAGATTGGACTCACAGTGATCCTCCTGTTTTCATCCTCCCAAGCACTGGGATTACAGGGGCGCGCCACCATGCCCAGTCTTAATCCTGTCTCAGTGCACCCCGGGGCAGGACCAGCATGGCTTGTGGTGCCAGAGATTGAACCCCAGTCCCTGAGCTCTGCCTAAGGAGGCACTTTAATCCGCTTTCTGTTTGTTTTGAGATGAAAATCATGTCATGTTGCCTTGGCTGAACTTGAACTCTTGGTCTCCAGAGATCCCTAATATAGGTGCATGCCAGTGATCCTGGCACATGTTGAGTGGTTATCTGCAATTAGCAAAAGCTGATTGAGAAAATTTTTTCCATAGGAAAAATAGGTGTGCTCACAGTAGGTCAAAACTCTGAAAATTAGTATGAGTTGAATGTCTTTTATTAAAGTGTTTGCAACCAAAACTCTTTCATATTTTACTTTTTTTTTTTTTTTTAATATATTCAGATGTTACAGGGTCTCACTATGCAGCTTGGACTCATGGTGATCCTCCTGCTTTCAGCCTCCCCAGCGCTGGGATTATAGGTGCATACCACTATGCCTGGACTCTGGCCCCTGGCCAGCTCAGCCCACCCTGGAGGCAGGGCTGGCATAGCATGTGTGCCAGGGATCAAACTGCAGTCCCTGTGTCTGCCTAAGCTTGCCTAAGCAGGCACTTTAGTCTGCTGAGCTATCTCACCGACCCCAGGTTTTTGGGTTTTTTTTTTTTTAATTTTGGAATATTTTCATATGCATAATGGGATGTGTTGGGGATGGAGCCTAAGTCTAGATACAGAGTTTATTTATGCTTTGTATGTATGGGCTCAAGATCATTTTGTACAACACCTGTAATAATTATTTTCAGACTTTTGAACATTTTAGCTTTCAGTTTGCAGGGTAAGCGTGGTACGCAACCTGTATCATTTTGTCTTGAAGATGCCACAGAAGACTTATTCTTCCTATGTAACTTACACTCCTGAAGCACATGTTTGAGTGTCTGCATTCTTGTGTCTGTTGCTGGGAATTGAACCCAGGGCCTTGTACATTTTATGAATGCATTCTGAACTACATCACCAGCCCTTTTGCTTTATTACTTTTGAGATGGTATCTCACTAAGTTAAGTTGTCTAAGCTGACCTTGTAAACTTGTGATCCTTCTGCCCTAGCCCCAGAGTAGGTAGGACTACAAGTTAGTGCCACTGTACCTAGTGACAGCTCACTTTCATTATGTTTAGGTTGGGGCGGTTTTGTTTAGCTTCTAGCATAACTAGTAATGTTCATAATGCCACTACATTAGCAGAAAGAATAGTTTAACTGATGGTATCTCTTGGACTTATTTGCTTTGCAGCTTTGATTAGTTTGTCCTTTGGAGGAGCAATTGGGCTGATGTTTTTGATGCTTGGATGTGCCCTTCCCATATACAAGTACGTAAAATTATTCTCTGGGTGTTTAAGGGTAAAATGTTTCTACTTTTGAAGGTATAAAAATGTTTTGTTGTCTAATGTAAAATTAATACAAGAGGGTTTTTTTGTTTTTTGGGGTTTTTTTGCCTGGCTCAGGCTGCCTTAATGGCAGGTATGGTGTGGCATGTGGAGCTGGGGATCGAACCATGGTCCTACAAGCCTTTGCCCAGGCAGGCGCTTAAACAACTTAAATCGCAAGCCCCCAAATTAATACAAAGAAATGCTCACCAAACACAAACCTTTTTAAAAATCATCACATAAAATATATTTGTAAAGAAGTACAGAAAGAAGTTTTTTATTATAATCTGCTCTTTGACTACTATGGAATCTATAATAGCAAATGGCAAAACAATAGCTCAGTCCTGCTGTCTGGTTTTCAGCACATACTTAGAATACTAAATATCAGAAAAGAAAAGGCATCTTTTACAGAAAATGGCATAAGCAGAGTTAGAACACAGTTGACTTTAAAAATTGTGTAAACAATGACATTTTCTAGGCTTAAAAATAACTTTTTAAAATTAATATTGAAGAAAATTGGAAAAAGAAAATTCAGTAGAAAAACAACAAACCTGAGAACTACACATTGCTGATAAACACATAAAAATGTACTCAAGAGTCCCACAAAACTAAGTGAAATATATTAGCAAGGACAAAATACATGAGCAGACAGGCACTGCTAGGTACTTTGGTGGGGGTCTGAGGTTTAAATAAGTAGTTTGCTTATAGTTCCTTGTGTAGCCTTCTACTTCTTAGATTTTTGTACACAAATCCACTTGCAGTTGTTTGCAAAAATATGTGTAGTTGGTGGCTGGGGTGGTAACTCAGGGGTACAATGCCTGCCTGGCAAGCAGAAAGTCCTGAGTTTGATTCCTGGTACCCCCCGAAAAAAGAATAAATATATATAGTTGGGAAAGAGCATAAGTGTTTATGATAGGCTTGTTTATAAGGTGAGAAAGGAAAACTGATAATACTATAAATGTAATGTTGATCAAAAGAAAAATGGTTAATTTATAGTATGTCTATCCCTGAAAATCCTAGAAAGCATTAACAAATGAGGAAGAGTTATAAAGCCATTATACATAGATGTTCAAGATGTTACGGGGCCGGGGAGATGGCTTAGTAGAGTAAGTGCTTCCCTGGCAAGCGCAAGAGTCTGAGTTCAATCCCTGGTTCTGCAAAAAAAAAAAAAAAGATAATGTTAAATGAAAAACAAGGCAGTGATCAAGTCACCATTTTAAAGCTTATCTGTATAAGATTGTGCAGTTCCACAGGGAAGTGAGAAAGCAAGCAGGGGAGATTTGGGGAAACGGTTAATTTTCACTTTTTATGCTTTTGTATTACTTGAAATGTTTCTTCTCAGTATCTGCTCCAACAGCTTAAAACGCATGGGTAGAGCTTATGACCCCAAGCACCTGAATACAAGCAGTCTCCACTATAATGTGTGATTTATCCTATGGCAGTTTTAAAGACTGTCTTTAAAAAAAAAAAGACTGTCTTAGTTTGAAACGATTATAGGTAATCAAGAAGTTGCAAAAATAGTACAAAAAGCTTCCCTGTGCCCTTCAAATGCTTCTCCCAGTTGTAATATCGTACGTAAGTAGTTATCTGTGGCAGGAAATAACATTGGCACAGTATAGTTAACGAAATGACACTAAAAGTGAACTGTTTTACTAAGACAAACTTACATGCTGACTAAAAGTCTTCAGTATCACTTTGAGTGAGTTTCCTGTATTTTGGTTTTAGTATTTCAGGAGGTCTGGTGACTTAAGGACTTAAGCTAAGGCTTTCAACTTTATACCAAGAGGCATGAATTTCAAAAGTTTACTGTGTTTATATTCTCATTTTTCTTATACTTCTTTGTTTTTAACCTAAATGGAAAAAAAAAATTTCGGGTCTCAATGCCTACTGATATATTATTTTATGTGTATAAATTTTTTATTTAATATTAAAAAGTATCATTGATTTCAGATATATTGTAACTCAAAATGTTTCACATTTCAATTTTCATCTGTTCTACTACCATGTTTGGTATTTTGCAATATTCCTTTGGTCCTTATAAAAAGAAAATCATATTTTATACGTAAAAGAATGACATAGATAACAAAAACTCCAGTTAACCTATTTTTCTTTTTCTAGCCAATACTGGCCCCTTTTTGTCCTGTTTTTTTATGTCCTTTCACCTATTCCATACTGCATAGCAAGAAGATTAGTGGATGATACAGATGCTATGAGTAATGCTTGTAAGGAGCTCGCCATATTTCTCACAACAGGCATTGTTGTCTCAGCTTTTGGGCTCCCCATTGTATTTGCCAGAGCACATCTGGTAAGTGAATGTGTTTTTTTCTATGAATAATTTCTATTAGACTGTGTTAACTTCAGTTTTTAATGACATGAAAATGAGATGAGAGACAAAGCAGCCTAGAAGATAAAGATTAAAGTCTTAGTTTTCGGGTTCTTCATAACTCATAAAATCATACTAGAGAGTATACCCTAGGTCGGTAGCAGCACTTGGCTTGCTAATGCCTAGCTATTAGCTCAAGCTGAATAGCCACCAGCCTATCCTGTGAAACTAAAAACATAGAAGACCTGGGTTCTCTGCAGGCAAAAAACTACTCAAGAGGAGAACGGGCTAGCCTGTCAATACTCAGTTCCCTCTTCCTCCCAGACTCAACCCAGATTTCCCCTGCCATCTCTAGAGAGGTAGGGAAGGAGATGACTGGCTGGCCTGGAAGGTGGAGATGGTGATGATGTCCCCATCCCCTTGGAAAGAATGTGTGCAAGTGTGTTTTCATCTCTGGAAATTTACATCTAATCTGTTCTCTAAATAGATTTTTAGATTCACTAGAAAGAGCAATTATCTTTCTAGGCAGAAAATCATAAGATCTTGTGCTGTGTCATCAGAACCCAGAAGATAAGCTTGTTTTTGAATAATTGTTTCATAATTTTGAATCTTTGTAAAGGAACCAAAGGTAAATAAAAGCCATATAAAGATACATAAATGTTCAATACTATAAGAGCTATTACATATTTGCCTGTAAAAAACCATATTTGCCTTAGATCATGGTTGGCATACACTTAGAACCTTGATTTGATTTTCATTTTCATGTCTGTTAACCAAGTGTTTATATCTCATTTCCATAGATTGAGTGGGGAGCTTGTGCACTTGTTCTCACAGGAAACACGGTCATCTTTGCAACAATACTAGGCTTTTTCTTGGTCTTTGGAAGCAATGATGATTTCAGCTGGCAGCAGTGGTAAAAGAACGTTACTGAACTGTTGTCAAATGGACTTCTCATCTGGTGGCCATCTGCGCATACAAGAGATGGGGCAGTAATGATACATGGCGCAGCAAGCCTGTTGGGGGTATCCTAGGTGCTCCCTTCTCACTTTTATTGTATGCATTTTTTTTTTCCACAGAGACTTATTGGAGGATTAAAAGGATTTTCTGTCTTGGCAAAGCTTGACTGATTTCACACTTATCTATAGTATGCTTTTTGTAGTGTCCTGCTGGATTTAAATATTTGTATGTTTTCTTTGTTTGCCTTTTTTTAATGAATATGCTGTGTTAAATATTTTTTAAATGTGATAACCATTTGCATTGTTCAGAAATTCAGAATTCCTCTGGCTATATTACTGGGCTAAGATAT